GAGAAAGAAATGCTTATACACTGTTGGTGGGATGGCAAATTAGTATAACCTCAATGGAAAACAGTATGGAAATTCCTCAAAGAACTAAGTAGACCACCGTTAGCAGCCATGTGCTGTGAGTTATCCTGTAGTAATGGTGACTGTACATTCATTCACACGCACTATGCCTGGTCATTTGGAGAACGAGCAATAAGATATTCCAATTTAGGAAATAAGGCAAGGTAAGTGAACTTTAGCCTTCCCTGCTTTACTTTTCTTTATCTAGCCCCAACTCCCTAGATGGAATTTCTTTTAACTTCCTCAGAAAACTAATATCTTCATATTCTCCCTCCCCCTAGATATTCTGAAAGGGTTTATAAATAGAGGAATTTCAACATTATCTATCCCACAATGTGAGTTCACTAGGGATGGAGGCCTTTAGTAAAAAGGAAGACAGGATAAAGCCATTGGCTAATGCATTAAATCCCCTCCTAAAACTGGTAGCCCTTGGGGGAAATGACTTCTTCCACCTGTTTTTGAGACAACTAGCCTAAGGGGCTGACTTGGCCCCAGCAGAAAATAAAGCCTGGGTAGGAGATTGAACCCATGATACTATACCATCCCAATTTCTCTCTATTCTGTCATCAAAAAAGTAACTTGGACATTTTGTACCATAATAGCCATATTGTCCAGGTAACCTTATCCAAGATGGCAGCTGTTTTCCATATGAACACAATAATCACTAACCCTGAAATAATGCCATTTAAACAATGATGGTTGATCTCTTGGTTTAGACCTGTAAAAATCGTTTAAAGTTTTGTGATTTAACAAAAACATTTTATTGGGGGCCAATGCCCTTTGGAAATCCTCTTAGAAGAAACACATTCTGTCATGTTACTCTTAATAAGACTGCAGTATTGATAATATGCCAAAACCATCCTCTTCATTTGTGCATGTTAAACTGAAAATGGCAGCTTTGACGTAAAACATCTGCTTGTGAATTCATTAGCTGAACTATTATAAACAAATCACCCATTTATTTACTTTTCCTTAAAATTGTAAGTTCAAAACATGTTTTATTGGTGATTCATTTTCCTATCCTCTTCCTAAAACCTTTGTGTTTTGAGTATGGAGAAGGGAGAAAGGCATTTTACTTATCTGTTAGGTAACCTAGTAATTGGAGTTCACTTGTGACTTTATTTAAAACATAATCACAGCATATTTTATTTCTTTTATTACTCTTTTTTGAAGGAAATTGCTACAATCCTTTGAAATTAAAATCCTAAATTATAACATTTAAAGCAGTATTAAAATTTTATCCAGTTTTAGTATTAACCTTTTGGTCCTTAGTTTTTATCTTTCTCCTCTCCTAAGACTGGAATAAAACATTGTACTGATGATTCTGTCTCTCTCTTGCTTTGGTTATTCCTTAAAGACAGTAAATAGTTCTCCAGTTTCTACCTGCAAGGTGCTTTCTATATTCCATTCTCATTTACTACCCAAACCTCAGTTTTTCTGTCTGCATGTGACTGTCAAGTCTCAATATCAGAACCCAAATTCCAACCTCTCTTTTTCAAGTATTTGCAGATAGATAGCATCAGCCTCTCAAACTTCAGTCCCAAACAAACCATCTGCTCCCTCCTCAAACTTCCTGATATTTCTATTTCTAGCCATTCTCCCAGCCATGCAGACTCTGAGGTATAGTTTTCATCATTATATCCGCTAAAGCTTTGCCACTCAAAATGTCCAAGCGTCAGTAGCACCCATCGGCATCACCTGGGAGTTTATTAGAAATGCAGAATTTGAGCGCCCCCCTCAGCCGTACTGAATCAGAATTTGCATTTTAACAAGATTCCCAGGTGATTCCTATGCACATTAATGCCTGAGAACCACTGCCCTGAAAAAGAAATTGCTGTGATCTGAATGTGTTTCCCCAAAATTTGTATGTTAAAATCCTAAACCCCAATGTGATGATATTAAGAGATGAGGCCTATGGGAGGTGACTAGGTCATGAGGATGGAGCCCTCATAAATGGGATTAGGGCCCTTATAAAAGGAGCCCTAGGGAGCTTATTTGCCTCTCACGTGATGTAAAGACACTGCAGAGAAGTTAGAAGTCTGCAACCCAGAAAAGGGCCCTCACCAGAACCCATGCATGCTGGCTGGTGCCTTGATCCTGGAGTTCCTAGCCTTCAGAACTGAGTAGTGAATTTCTGTTGTATATAAGCTACCCAGCTTATTGTATTTTGTTACAACAGCCTGAATGGACTAAGATGGGAACCATCTCTATTATCCATGGTAACTTAGCATATGACAGTTACTCAGGTCCTTATTCAGTATCTGTATATATAGCTCTTTCAGCTGAATATTGATATGTTGTCATTCTATCCCTCTTGCCTTCTAAGAATTTCCTTCTTTTATCTTCTCTTTCTTCTACATCATCAATTTCTCCTTCTCTACTGCTCATCATCATCGATATACATGTCTTACAAAAGTTTTCTAAGTTGTCATCAACAGAAACCAACAAACCCGGTGGATTTAGGCAAAAGAAGACTCTATTATAAGAACATTGCTGCTGGCATCACCACCGCCTCAAGCACTGGATGCTGGGATCTGCCTAGCACTGTAGCTAGTATTGTTCCAGAAACCCAATCCCACTACAACCACTGCTTCACCACCAGGGTGCTTTTCCCATCCCGGCTCCAGACTGCCAGCCTGAGCAGCTACATCTGATTGGTGAAGCCTCTCCACGTGTCCACACGCTACCCAATAGGGAGGCTAGAGAACGATCTGGCATTTTTCAGCTTGTACAATAGAAGGAAGACTCTGCCTCCCGACAAGACGCATAATTCCATAATTCATAATTTAAGGAATTTTAAGAATTTCCTAAAAACAAAAGTATCCAGATGTTACTAGGAGGCCAAAAAGAATATCAAATCTCCACCACATTCAAACATCTTTAAAAAAATCCTCATTTTTCTTCCCCTTCTTTTGTGACATTTCTAAATATAGGTTGTCTGCACTTGACTTTATTTTGTCATATCCTATTCACTATTCATGCCACACCAATCTTGCTTCTATCCTCAAAAATCATCATATTTCCAAACTCAGTGGGTACTTCTTGGAGCTCATATTGCTTGAGCTCTCAGTATTATTAGATCTTCTCTTGGCTTCCATGGCATCAGGGTCCCCTGGAATTTCTCCTTTCTTTCCGACTCTCTACCTCAACCTTCTTTTCTGTCTCTTCCTCTGCTCTTTCTTTTTGTTTATTTTCATGGCTCTGTCCCTGCTTGTCTTCTTTGGCTCCCTTCACTCCCTAAGTGTTCTCATTCTATCCCAGTCTTTTTCTGGCCTTAAAATTCTAGAATTCTTAAGGCTAACCATTCTTGCCTTTGAAAAAATAAAATCTGTAGCCTGGTAACCTCTTTGCTGAGCTCTATAGAGTTTTGCATTTCTAACTGCCTACTTCATGATTCTACTTGGATATCTGATAATCATTTTAATTTTAATATGCTCATAAGGCAACTCTTAATTTTCCCTCTCTTAACTGGGTCCTTAAGAAGTCTCTTCAATTTCAGCAAATTGCTTCATCATTTACCCGGTGTTTGAGCTACAAACCTAAGACTCATCATCCTTGATTTATTTAATATTTTTCTCATAGTCTCACATCCCATTGATCCATAAGTCCTGTATTTTCTACCTCCAACATATATCCCAAATTCATGTACAGCTCTCCTTTCCCTGCCTAAACCAGCTCAGTCTGAGTCATCATCATCTTTTGCTTATAACCATATTTCCGTAGAACTGGCCCATGCCTCCCTCCACCCTCATTTCAAAGTGTTCCCCCCTGTTACCCTCAACTGTGCCTCCACTGGCCTCCTTCCTCTTCCTCAAATAGGCCAAGCTCTTTGCTGTCTCAAAGTTTTGCTCTTCTTTCTACTGCTGAGAACGCCTGGAATACTAATTCCCACCCCAGCTTAGCCCGTGTTTGACTTCACCTTATCTTTCAAGACTCCCCTCTATTTTTATCATCCCAGATGTAGCCCACCACTTACCCTATCACATCATCTCACTTAGTTTTACTTAATAACTGGAAACGTTCTTTAATTACAGTAGTCCCCACTTCTCCACAGTTTCACTTGCCATGGTTTCAGTTATCCATGGTCAACAACAGTCTGAAAATATTAAATGGAAAATTCCAGAAATAAACAACTCATAAGTTTTAAATTGAGCACTATTCTGAGTAGTGTCACGAAATCTCTTGCTTCATCCCACCTGGGACGTGAGTCATCAGTTCGTCCATCATGTCCACATGTATACACTACCTGCAAGTTAGTCATTTATTAGCTGTCTCAGTTGTCAGACAGGAAAAAAACATAGTATATATTGTGTATATATATGTATATCTATCTCCTTGGTTTCAGTTGTCCACTGTGGGTCTTGGAACATAGCCGCCCTTCCCATGAATAAGGGGTGACTACTGTACCTTATTCATCTGTTCATCAGTTTAGGGTATTTCTCCCCTGACAAGAAGGTAAGTTTGATCAAAGCATAGACCATGTCTTTTCAGTGTATGGCTATGTCTCTTGAACTAAAAGGAGGATTGTCTAACTCATAGTAGGCATTCAATAAACATTTGGTAAATAATTTAATGCACAGATAATTAAGTGAATGACTGATGTTAAATTCCATTGAGATTTCCTAACCTTCTCATTTCTAACTGATTCAGCGTTAGCTGTCAGTAATAGCTTGATAGCTAGTTACCCAAGACAAATTTCCTTACTTATTCATTTACTTTTGATTCTGCCTTGGACTATTGATTGTTTTCATTAATAATAATGATAATACAATGTTTGGGGCAGCTAGTAGGAAAAGCAAAGCAATGATGCTGATACATTCAGAATGTCTCCTGGCTAATGTGGTCAGTTTCTAAATGAATAATGTCCACACATCAATCTTTCCTCTACTTCCTGCAATTGAATCTCCCTAGAGGAGTCATCGGATTCTCTCAGTCTTGATGATTGACAGGATGTCCCTGTGGACTCCCTAACTCCACTGCAGCGGGGGAGGGGCTCCTTGACACCAAGATTTTAAAAGTCCCAAGTTCAGAACAAGATCAGAAAACTCACAGGTAAAGCTATAGTTATTGCAGAGTTCTGAAAAGAAGTAAAACATGAAGGTAAGTAAAGGTTTTATTCATTTGTGACTTTTTAGCTATTTTATAAAAAGCTTTATAGCTTTTTACCTATTTTATGTTTCATAAATATGACTTTAGAATAACAGAATCATTTGATTTTACTAAGAAAAAAATTCACTTATTTACTCAATTCCTTATGTGGGTAATGTAATGAAAATAACGTATTTCTAAATAATTTTTTTAAGTGGAATCTTCTAGATTAACTAGAAGGTAGACTGGAGAAACACCTCTGCATCCTGAGTATTAAAACAGAACACAGAAGTAAGGGGTTTGTTATCGTCCAGGCATCAAGGGAGGAAGCAGAAGATTCCCATCCGCACAGAAATGACCCTCTTTGGTTGATCGTTTTATGCAGGGACTCAGAAGTCTGGCAGCAACAATCTTGGCTCTTTTCCTGGTGTTTTCTTTCCTGGGAAACTCCAGCAGCGCTCCGCAGGTAATCAAATGCGAAACGTGCGCTGTGTGGCCACGCTGCTCTTTCTCTTTTTTACTTTTTCTTTCTTTTTCCTCTTTCTCGAATAGAGGATTGGGCTGCAATGTTTCTCTTCTGCCCGGTTTATAGGGACTGTTTGAGAGAAGGAACTGGACTCCGCAAGCGATGCTCTACCTAAAAGGAGCACGTAAGTTGCAAGCCCTTTGCTCTTCCTGCAACAATAATGGAAGACCCTTCGGCGTGCGCGAATCCATGAACAGATAGATGGACAGCGAATAGTGCTGAGTTTGTTTTTAATCGTGGCCATCCTGGCCAACTGTTAATAAAAGAGACAGGTGGGTGAGGGAGGCCGGTGGGAGGGAAAGACTCCCTGGTTATTAGAAATCCTCCATCCTAAACTGGAGGGTTGCCGTTTCTTGGCGCACTTGGGGACTCTGGGGTTGCCTGGGAAACATCGCTCCCGCTCGGGACCGCGACGTCTGCTGCGACCTCCGCTCCAAAGCGCCCCTGCGGCGTCCTGCGGGGCGCGGGGCTTTGCTCCGGGTCTCCAGGGCGCCGGGCTCGGAGCGCTGGAACCCGGCAGCCCAGTGCGACCCCGACCGGGCGCAGCGCCACCACGTCCCGGCCTGGGCACTGCGCGGTGCCGAGCGGCGGTGCCTCAACCCCCGATCGTCCCGGCCCGGCGGGCGCTGAGACGCACGTCTCGCTTTTGCAGAGGGGCGCCGCTTCCTCTCCGACCAGAGCCGGAGGAAGGACCTCTCCGACCGGCCACTGCCGGGTGAGTGACCTTATAAGGGAGCCCGGGCGCTGACGCCGTGACTTCGAGCAGGATGGGGAGGGCAGGGCTCGCTCCGCCCTGGCGCCGAAAGCAAGCGCCTCCCCTCCCGAGGACGCGGCTCGGAGGCCGCCCTGAGACGCGGTCATCCGTGGTTCAGCCAGGTGGGCATCGGCGACAGGACGCCGAGCGCTGGAGCTGGGGATCGCGACGTCCAGCGGCGACTAACAGTGGCAGGGGCGGGGGAGGCTGGGGCGCAGCTGTTCAGACCACCCAGCGTGCTGACGTCCCAGGGAGTCACTATTCTGGGACAGGCAAGGCCTGGGGTTTAGCTCAGAGGGGGAAGAATAGAAAAAACTATACAAATGCTTCTAAAAATGTACCTGCGCATTTATGTAAGACCTTTATTCAGCTTCTTCTTAAACACTATTAGAATGGGAACTTACCTGGGAACTTCAAATATGTGCGTCTATCATATTACTAGAAAGAGCTATCAAAAGGCTCAAAATCAAAAATAAGTAAGTAGGGGCCATGAAGAATGGAAGCAGGGTCTGTTAGTTTTCATGATAAACCTTCTCATGCCATTGAATTAAAAAACAAATCACGGTACAATTTGATAAAATTTCAAAGATTGAAATGCTAAAAATAAAAAGTATACTTATTTTGAAAAATACCAAACATTGTGCTGAGCACAGAGTAGATGCTTAACAAATTTTTGTTTAGCTTCTTCAAGCTTGCAGTGTAATTAAGCTTATATATTTTATGAGGGTAGGGTTTGCTTTCCCACTTCAGTTGCCCCCAGATTGAAAATCATGATTTGTATTGAATTAGAATCATTTGTCTTTTGTCAACTTAGGTTTGAAATAACTTTGAACACTTAGCAGGTGCTGGTTGAGTCAAATAATCACCTTAGATGTGGCCAAGAATGTAGATTATTATCTCAAACTGCTTTGAAAGTAAGAAGAGAGGACATAATACAGGCTCCATGCAGGAAAACATCTAAAGCTTTTGTCCAAACCTCCCATTTTAAACCGTGAAGGGGGACGTTTCTCATGGGCTCTTGTCTTAATCCTTAAAATTCTCATCCATACCCTGCACATATACTCAGCCTAACCACTTGTAGGCCATTCCCAAGAGAAATGTGAAATGTTTCAATTTATAAAAATCAGTCTTCTGTGGAAGAAGCCTTTTGCTTAGGGGTCAAAAATCTATTTCATAGAGGTATTTTTAGTATTATAGCATACTAGAATAGGATTTACCTATATGAATATTTAAATGCTAACAGAATCTGTATACATTTTTGTTTCTCCAGAAAGACGAAGCCCAAATCCTGAACTGCTAACTCTTCCAGAGACAGCAGCCCTATTACTGGCTTCCTTACAGAAACCACAAGAAGGTACAAGTATAGTGACCTCTTTCAACTGCAGGACAGAGTGGCTTTGCTTACTTTTGGGATTCTGTGTTGAGTATAACCCCTGCCCACCCAGAAATTCACAGAGATGTTTATTCTATAAAGACCAGTATATTGCTCATTAAAATGAGTCCCAAGAATATAAAAACATTTCCACGGGTGAGACTGGGGAATTTTACATGCATTTCACAATCCATAGGCTATTGTAAACTTTTTTTTTTGAACTCTTAAAACTGAAAGAGCTCAAAGTCCATCTTCATTGTTTTATTGTTGAACAAACTAAGGTCAGAAAGATTAAATAACCACAAATCCAATTGCTCACTCTTAAAAGTTAAACCAAAATAAAATTGCTAGAAGTCAATCATTTTTTACTTATAAACACAGCAGTCTCATATGGTTCAGTCCAATAGATATGGGCCAGTTCTGATTCTAAGCCTGTGTCATTTTCATTATGTTTTTATAGCTTCTTCTATACCAGGATTAGATGTAATCTTCAAATAGAGGCACTCTGTCCAGGTAGCATTAAAACTACCAGTTGAATTAAGGCATCTTAGTAATGGGTCAAACAGGTCTTTGGAGTCTAAAAATCCTGGGTCTAAATCCCAGCTCTGCTGCTTATAATGAAGTGATGATGTACCCATGTTCAAGGTCTCTACAAGAACCCAATGAAGCAAAGTATATAATTCTTATGACTATTAAGAAGTCATCAAAGCATAATAAATAGACCTAGAATGTTCTCTTTCAAAAATTATAATGATGCCATATTTAGGACATAATTTAAATTTTTAAATGTTTTAAAAAATACATGTATTGTCCATTGGTCAAAGCACGTGTTGCTGCCCTAGTTCACTGACATCTTTGCTGTTGGAGAAATCATATGTGCTCTGTGCCTAGTATTAAATGGGCCATGTGGGAGATGGGAAGAGAGCAGAAGGCACTTTCTGGCTTCAAGCTTTGGCTTTGTTGTGAAAAAATTCCTATGAGAGACAAGTAGAAGAGAGTGGGATAAAGAGGTCTTTTGAACTCAGAGCAAGGCCATGGCTAACTTGGGCATACAGGGGATTATATCAATCAGCAAATAAGTATTTATGCCTGCTAGGTGCCATGTACTGTGGCAGGCAGAGAGGAAAGTAGATTAAGCAAAAGCAGGCAATAGAATAGCCTTTGCAATGAAAATATAAGGTAAGCAGCCAGTGAAATAGCAGAACATAGGAGTAGTGGTTATGATAGAGTTATTGCTACTGCCACTGCTACTACGAGCTAAAAATGATTTAATGCTCACTGTAATGCAATGGGCCAGGCACTGTTCTAAGCACTCCATATTGGATGTGTACATTTAATCCTCACAATAACCCTAGGAGGTAGGCACTCTTATCCACATTTTACAGAAGAGGAAATAAAGGCACAGAAAGATGAATAACTTGTCCACCATCGCATATCGGGTACATAGTGGAACTCGGATGAAGACAGAAGGTAACTTGATCTTTATTGGAGAATGAATGGGATGACCTATGGATTTTCTGCAGAGAGATGGCATAGTAAAGAAAGAGAGTCTGGTTATGACACATAGGGTAACAATAAGAGAAATAACAACAGCTACAATATGGGAGCACTGACTCTCTGTCAGATGTTATTGCTAATCTTCAGAGCTCAGAAAACTGAGCCTTCAAGAGGTATGTTTACTTTCTTAAAGCCATGCAGGTAGTAAGGAATTATATTGGGATTTTAGCTCAAGTCTTTGTGACTCTACAGCTCTTTCAGTTATGCCATGCCAGCTGTCAAATGGAGTGTATCAAAGAGAAAAAGTTGAAGTGGGGAACCCATAAGAAATCAGAAAATAATACAGGGGTGAAGTGAGGAGGTGCAGTCAGTCAATGGGAGCAGATGAAGAGGCTCAACTCTGAGCCATACTGGAAAGAAGACAAGACGGGATCCCTGTTCACTAAAGATATAAAATGAAATGTTACAAATGGAAAGAAGAAAAGATGGGATCCCTGTTCACTAAAGATATAAAAGAGAATCCAAAGTCAAGCACATTTTTAAAGTGGTGTGCGTGAGAGTTTACAACGGTGAAGATGATAATAAAGAATGAAAGTTTCTGTGAATATGGAGAAGGGTTCATTTCGAGGTCAAAGGGACATTTTAATGAATAAAGACAGGTAGGTCAGTGGTTCTCCACTATGCGTCTGTGGACTGCTTACTTCAGAGTTACCTGGAGAGCTTACTGAAAAATACAGATTTCTTGGCCTTAGGCCCAGAGATTCTGATTCTGTATTACTTGAGTAAAGCCCCAGAATCTGCATCCTTAAGAATTTCCCCCCACATTCTTATGATTGGTCAGGTTTGAGAACAACTGGAAATTCAGAGATGGTTCGTAAAGGTTGAAACCATAAAAATGGAGATTCTCCCCCAGAGCTTAGATATAGCGGAGGAAGGACAGATAATAAAAGATTTGCCTTGGAAAACACCCAAAATGCAAGGGAAGAAGGGGGAAATAGTATTAGTGAAAGGATATTAAAAGGAGCACGCAGAAATATAAGAGGAAAAGCAGAATAATACAGTATCCCAGAATCAAGAATGGAAAGTTCCAAGAAGGGAGTAATCAGAGCATCAACTGTAACAGAATGGTTAGTAAGAATACAGAACTCAGGGGACATTAAGCAGTGGCTCACAAGACTTCTCCTCAGCTCCTCCCCAGTGACACAATTTGCTGCTGCTGGTCCCTGTCTGAAAGGGAATTTGATTTAGAGGGAATTTGGTATAAGAAAGTAAGCTGCAGAGTTAAGAGAAAGCAGGTACTAGGTATTGGAGGGCTAGGTGAGGAATAGTTGAATAATAAGTAGAGGATGCTGTATCCAAGACGAAATTTTTTTAAATTCAATATTTGGAACACTTACCGATTTTTGTCTCTTCTTTTTGTCTCATTTCCTCCCCATAACTCTAGCTCACCTAATAAAGGAAAATTTGTAAATGTGTCCCCATGTTATCTTTCCCAAGTAAGATGCATTTTTAACAGGCAGTTAGAGACAGTCTTTTGATGAAAGTGAATGATTGTAATGATGGGTATTTTAGACATGAGGCAATTTATCAGAGCAAGACATGTGGCCCTCAAATGTATCATGTTGTAGTTTCATTCATTATAAAGATTCAGATGTAAAATTTGAATTTCCCAATCTATCTAAAGCTGAGGGGAAAATTTTTAAAACCAAACAAATCCAAACCCATTTTGGGAGAGTTTTCAGTAGCAGAGTCCACAAGTTAATATAACTTAGGGGGTTAAATGTTTATTTCCTGAGGTTCTCTTCATTTCGCCTTTTACTCTTTTATTAATAAATACAGAATGTGTGTTTAAGTAATTTTTTTTTCTTACAGATGAAGAAGAAAACTTTGATCAAACCAGATACCTGAAGGGCAGTCTGATAAACTGGTGAAGATATATCAGATTATGTGCAATTATAGTTCTATTCTGTTGAAAACATGAACCACGTGAATAAAACCCTTGGACCCTTTTTATTCCATTTGTAATCTTAGGAACATGCATAGCTAGTTTTATTCTTTCAGAAGCAAAAGAAATGTAGAGTTCTTAGCTGAGAACATCATCGCCTTCTTTCATTGCTTCAGGTCCTGTTTAGATCAGCAAAAGGTTTAGATCACCTTGTGTCTTGCTCTTGAGTTTTTTAGAACATTTATAATGACAAAGCTGAAGACTCGAAAGTGCTCTTGCCTTTTCTTACACAGCTAGTACCTGTCTTGATCTTACTTGTTGGTTTTTTCATTCCACTTGCACTTCGTTGTCACTCAAGAGAGATTCTCCCTCGCTGTTTTCGCTTTTCCCCCTCTGGAGGAGGTTGGCAAGCATGGCAGGATGGGAAAAAAGAGAGTATGTCTCTCTGTAGTTCATCCAGGTTGAATAACTTTTTAAGAAGGGAAATTGGATGACTGGGGAGAAGCCCTGTGATAAGAACACTTCAGTGTGGCTGCTGGGAGGACAACCGGTGAGGTGGAAGGTTCACTGAAGATCCAGAGCTCCCCTTGTGCTCTTCGGGAATCTCCCTGAATTCTGTTTAGAAACGTGGATCTACATGTTACTGGGAAATAAGCTGATGGAGACACACTCTGCTTGTGCATATACCACATAAAGGGATCAAACAGTTTTTTAAAAGGAACCCATTTTCCAGGACCAAACAGGCTCAACAGATGCAAATACTCTGCTTATTCTAACTGCCTAGAGCTCTAGCCTTGATGTGACATCATAACACTACGTTAAGGCACCCAGATAACATAAGTGCATGGCAATATGCCTAATTTACTCCTTTTCAAAGTCAATGTGAATTCAATGCCATACGAATACATACACACACACACACACACACACACCCTTTCAGCAAGCATAATAATATATTTATTTGCAATTATAATATGACCATCATGTTAATTATTTTTACCTAATTAATTCAGAATTGTGACTGATAAATGTTATAAGTGGAAAGTATTGTTAATTCTTATTGTCATCAGTATATAGCCATTATTTTGTAGCCAAAGAATATCTTTATGTGAATGTCTCTGTAATTTGGAATTGTAATTTCTGTGTTAAAAAATCAAAACCCTGCTTATAAGATTTGTCTGTATCTTGTGTCAGAATTGAATAATGAAACTAAATTCAACTTAATGTAACATTAACCTCTGTCCAAAAATGATATGTGAGTATTAAAAGTTTGTGTGGTATTATAATAGGCACCTGTCATTAATTCTGATTTGATTTTAAAGTTGATTTATTAGGTAGTGCATATGTCCGATTTATTGAAAATTATTTACTCATCAGACATAAATTTGTACATATTGGCTATTCAAATATTATGTTTACTTCGTGAACACTTTTAACATCTATCTTATGAAATAATTCTTCCCACAACTAACTACCCAGAACAATTTCAAGTATTTCGTACTAAACAATGTTTTAAAAAGCTGTCTAACTGACCAATGGTTGTTAAAATATAGTTCCAAGTACTATAAGTACGAGAATTTCTTGAATGTTTCACCATACAAATGTACTTTTAAATTACAAAAGTCCCTCTCCCCAGTTTGCTTTTCAACTATCTTAGAATGTCTTTGCAATTCTCTTTATTCCTACATTTTTATATAACTGATCATAGATCAAAAAGCTTTCACACCATATG